ACAACACACCCTGTTCGAGCTAGTGTTTAAACGCTGGCCGTTAAACAGTATTAAAATATCTTAAATATATATCCTATTAAATCTAAAATATTGTAAATGTATGTACATAGATATAAGTGCGTCCTATAGCTACATACTATAGACAACTGTTGCATTCCCCATTAATTTTCAACTAGCTTAAGCTGCCATATTGGTAACAGAATACTGGTTTAATAAATTGTATATATGTAAATAAAATGTAAAAAAAACTATATTTTGCCTAATAAATGTCAAAGAGAAACTCTATTTCATTTATTTTTTATTTTTAAATAAAGTAGCAGAGAAATATAATGTTCTACTTGTATGTACTTATGCAATTCGCTCATAGAAGCTTGGAATGTTGGTGGAGGAGTACGTGCAGAATATATTAAGACAGTATTCATACAAGGATTGGTCTCTAAGATAGAAGAAGTATATCCAGGCGTTTATCTAGTATAAATCAATTATTTGTAAGGGGTCGCAGAAGCTTTCTTCTATCTCTTAAACTATACCCTTATACCTAAGTACAGGTATGGTACAGGTGCTCTTTTTGACAGCTCAACCATGACTGCTGAACTAGCTCATAAACTTTCTAGCCAGCACAATGAACTCCATTGTATATAGAAGAAAGTACAGGAAATTCTCGTTTAAATTTTTTACATTTAATACGGCCTGATATTTTGCTAAGCTGAGCAACAAGAAATGGCACTCAATGCCAAATTGATGAAGTTATTCAGATCTACAAAGTAGTATTTAAATATAAATCATTCAAATGAAATTTCTCACAACCCAAAACACATAGCTATTAGGTCTCCGAAAGGGTTCTTGTGAGAAGATTGTGAGCAGATCAATGTAAAGAGACTGCTATCATCACAGATCGTTGAATTATAAATATAAATAGGGCAACAAATATAAATGCATAATCAAAAAGCATAAATTACTATTTTACAAGTATGAATGGCAAAGAGCGTATCGATAGGGCAACTAATGCTACTAGAGACACACTCAAGGAACTTATTCTTATTTGCTTATTTCACGAAATGCTTCTCCATAATACTTATATACTACTTTGTAATTATTTTAGCAATATTAGAGTCATGAATTTTACAGACCTAAGAGACTTGTAATAAGAAAAGATTACAGCCAACATGTTTAAACACGACTTGAGATAATCTGTAGCAGCAAAAATCAGTTCAGCCACTGTCCTGCAAACTATTTCAAAGGCTGACTGGCGATATTTTAATTTGATTAGCCGGTTAACAAATGGTTAACAAAAAAGACTATTTAAAATCCATATACAAGTAAACATATATAGTACCTATATTTTGGTATCTACGATGTCTTAACACTATTTTACCCTGTACTCAAAGGATAAAAGGGTATATTAGTTTTGTGCGAGAGTGTACATGTAACACAAAGAAGGACGCGTGGCAGACCCATGAAAGTATATACAGGGTGCGCCATCTTTTATGTCGGCATGCAAACATTGAATATCCTTGAAAATAAACAACCGATTTTCAAGTATGAGATATTTTTATTTAATTTGGTTCTGTACAATTTCTTAAACTGAGGTATTCAACGCTGGTCTACTCAAGTCAATCGGTTCACTAATGACAAAGTTATTCAATATTTACATACCGACATAAAAGATGGCGCACCCTGTATATTCTTGATCAAGGTGCGAAAATGAATCGATATAGCCGTGTCCGTCCGTCTGTCTGTATGAACGCAAGGATCATAGAAAGTATAAAAACTAGAATAACCACACTTGGTATGTAGATTCTCCTAAGCCTGAGAAAGGGTTAGTTTTTTTTATTTTTTCCGATGCACCCCCCGCCCCCCACACTCCTACTCTATTCATGATTTTCTCTAACTCACCCAATTCTTTAAATTTGAACTGAATTTTGTAGCCACATCCAGTTAGTGATTATGCGTCCGTATATTAAGTTTCATTATGATAGATCAATTAGAAACAAAGTAATAGCAATGTCTATAATTTTTATTTAATTAATTAATTGATTGAAAATTAAAAATTTAAGACTGGAGCCCGCTCAACTCTAGCATTATTTTCTTGTTTTATGCATGCATAATGCATATGTAGATATTATACTATATGCGTAATGATTGATCAAGTTTAAGTTTTTCCCAGATTTCTGACTTTTTCATCCACGTTGCATTATGTTGGTGTATTCGTGCGTGCGTGTGTGTGTGTGGACATCGTATTGAAGTAGACGACGTTGCCAATGGTCCTTGCTGTCTGGCTCTATCCGTCCCAATAAAAGAAACACGCTCCGCACCCCATACGCTGGCACACAATTATAAAGCACATCTTTTTACTTTTAGAGCCAGCCTGCTTTATACATTTATTTGTGTAGTGCCTGGACCACTGTATGCATCTCCTCTCTCTCTCTCTCTGTCTCTCTCTCTCTCTCTCTCCATATATATATAGATATATATATATTTGTGTGTGTGTGTGTGTATTCTGAGTATCGCCCAGCGCTGATTTAAATATCTTTTGCGAAGTGAGGGTTATGCTAAATATTTATGCATGACTGCTTTTCTGTGACATCAAATAAATCACTTTTATAGTTTGGGTTTGAGTTTGAGTTTCGAGTTTTAGTGTCTGCCCGTGTTTCTACTAGTGCTTCTGCTCTGTTCTTGTTGTTATTGTTATTGTTATTCTTGTCGATGCCACTGTTTGTTGTTGTTTTAAGCAGCCTAACCATGTAGCCATATTTATTGTGTAGAACAAATTGCTACGCACAATTTTTAGGCATTTCTATTTGTATTTCCATTTGTGTTTGCGTATTTGAGTTTCTGTCTGGGTCTTTTTATTTGCATGCTTGAGCAGCACACGCGTTTGCCAACTAAGGCCGACCCCATAAAGTATGCCAAACGTTCCGCATGTACTCGTATGTATATTAAATGACGGATCAGCATTATTGCCCTGAAGAGTCTTGGCTATTAAAGTGACACGATGGTCATGACTTTCTTAGGCAATTTTCTGATGATCACTTTGTCTTCAGATCATGCCGAAATGATGCCTTTCTTATGCATCGACACATGGCTAATTCCTCAAGATTTAGCAACATATAGTACTTAATTCGGTAAATGTGAAAAGCTATTCTGATTTGGTTTTCCCAAACATCTAGGAAGATTTTTCCAACCGCCTCGGCCTGAAAAAACTTGATGTATATTGTTCCTGAAATTAAATTGTCTATTTACATTAAAATCGTAAACAAGCACATCTCTTTTACACATTCAAAAATTTGTTTGACATGAAAAAAAGCACAGGCGACAACCATTTTAGGCCTATATCGTTAGTGCTGTTCACAACTAGCATGTTTTCAACAATGAATCTGTATATGCTTTAAAAAAATCATTATGCCTTCGGAAAACTAAAACTTAGGATCCAATTATACTGCGACACGTTAGGTAACAAGACACGATTTTCGTTCACGCGACTGCAAAACCATAAGAAACACATGCTTGGATTGCCGAAGGATTCCCCTAATTATGCAATTCCAAGCGAAACGGGACTATCGATTATTTATACCGAAGCAATGCAAGCAAATTTCTCATATGTGCAAAAACTATACTTATGCCGGATTCAAGGTTGGCGAAATATATGACAACATTTCTGCAGAGAGGTTCGAGTCAATTCTTAAAACATGGCAGAGCCTGCCATGGGCTTCAGCGCATAATGAAATATTCAAAAGTATGGATGTAAGCAAGACAAACCTATCAACATTTTTAATACTAAATACAAATCTTGAAGAGGCAAACTACTAACACGGTAAATAAAGTATTCCAGAAATATCCTTAATCTTTAATGATCGTTCCCAAATGTTGCACATTTCATTGCTACAAGACTAATCTTAAGAGAGATAAGATTTCAACAGCTACCTACTCAACAGCAAACAATAGTTTAAATAAATATGAATTAATTTGGACATGTCGAGCATGTGAAAAGGGGGAAAACTGGCTCCAAAAATTGTATTAAAAATCTTCAATTTTCATTTGATTGACTCACAATTGGGGTTGTAATAATAAAAAGTACGTTTGGGAAACAACGTGTAAAACGGTATATTAGTTTTGTGCGAGAATGAGCCCACAAAGTTTATATATTCTTGATCTTGACAAGACAAGTCGATATGGACATGCCTGCCTGTCCGTCCGTCTGGATGAACGCAAGCATCTCAGAAGGTACAAGAACTATAATTACCAAACTTGGTATCTAGGTTCCCCTTAGCTATTGTTGTTGCCGCTGCTTTGGTTGAACTTTGTGCTGCACTGACACGAACAGACACGAATAGACATGCATACATTCACATAGACACCATTTTTATGTAATTGTGCAATTATGCACCCTTTACGTGAGTTCGAATACCAAAGGAGGTAATATGTATCAATGTTTTTTAATTTTTCTCATTTTTTACACATATGTATAGAGTATTTCAAAGTCGGTACACCCGACTTTAGTTTCTCCGCTTGATATTTCTATATCTGTACTAAAAAGCATAAAAAAGCATCAAGAAAATTAATTCAAAATAACAATGGAATGTTAAAATTACTTTCTGTTAAAAATGGTATAGAAAAAAAAAAAAAAAGAAATAAAACATGCATCATGGAAGTTTCAATATTGAAAAAGGGCTTAAAAAACTAGTAAAGTAGACAAAAAAGGTGGAAAAAATATTTTATAAATTTAAAAAATAAACCTTTGGCGTGAATTAAACCCACGTCTCCACATCATCATTTGTGATTTAATATCGTCACACTTTAAATTTAATATTTTAGTATTAAAGTTAAAATTTAAGTGTGCACACTTCATATTTACTAAAACACACGATGGTGCAAAATCGATGGCAAAAATAGTTAAAACTAAGTACGTGTAAATATTGAATTTGCCCTGTGGTTTTTTTTATCAGTGTAGTAGGCGGCGCCCTAGACTACAGAAAACTGAAACGACGGGGCATTCATTGTAAATTTACTGTTTATTTCAAAAGCACTTTAGGTACGTTTCACTTCTATTTTCTCTCTCTACATGGTAGTTCGCTAAGTTGGCCGAATTGGCACCAGAATTTCCTATAATTCCACGTACAAAAACAAAAAAAACAAAAAACCAAAAAAAACAATTGCTTTTGGTATGACAAAAGGGGCTAAAATTCTCACTTCATCACACCTGTGGTATCTGTGTCCACCCATCTATCTGCGTGAATGCATTGTCAAATCGCTCAAAATATTTCTTTCGCGTACAAGGTGAGTGTGTCGGGAGTCAGAAATGAAATGCTGAAATGCTGATGAGAAATACATACTTGTACATATATTTGGTATAGCGCCTTGTTGTCATATCGTCGCCACCATTTTGCCCCAACGTTGCATGTGCCGCCAGTGTGCGGGCTTTAGCTATATGGATATGGAGTTGCTGAATGTGTATGGCAGAGCCATACCCCACTATATCATCCCTATAAAGGGCGATGGGTCCTGTTTGTTCCGTGCTCTCTCTTTTGTGATGTTTAATACGCAGCACATGGCGAATATCGTGCGCAAAGAAATTATAAGTCATGTGGTCACCCATTGGGCCCAGTTTGCTATAATGTCGCACGATCATCGTGGCAACAACTACTTGAATGCCGCAGCCTATTGGAACGACATGTCGCAGCCGTATACTTACGGCGGACTGTGCGAGCTGATGGCGGCTGGCCAGATATATCCGTACACCTTCGAGGTCTATCGAAATGGCGAGATTTACACTCGTGCTGGCGACCATGGATTTCCGGTTCGACGCTTGCGCTTCACTGACGACCTCTCGAGCGGACACTTTGACGCCTACGTCATTAAGGTAGGTGAATAGGTTAGTCGATTTGACTGACCGATAGCACGAAGCGCTTTGCAGGCAAATGTTCAGCAAGCGAAGCACAGCAGTGTTGGTGCATTGATGCATAATAATGCTTAACACCTTTATCAAGACGGAGGTGCCAATAAAAGCGACAAGGAGGGTGCTGTTAATAATGCACTTTAAAGAAGAAGGCGCTTTAAAAAGCCAATGCAAAAGGACCAAAGGAACGCAAAACCAAAGGCGCATATCTGAGATCTAAGAAATGGATGCGAAAGCAAAGAAAATGACTGAAAACAACGTTGATAGGTCTAAATTAGTTCAGTTTTGAAAAACCCCTCCATAAGAAAACTCTAAATTAACTAGTAATTACATATCATATCATATTCATGATTAAAATACTTATATATGGGCAAACTTTATTGCTCTTCATGAAATATAGTACCTTTGTTCCCCTTACGCTCTTCATAAAATATATTTCTTTTGTTTCCCTTTATGCGTGTGCTTTTGGTTTCCTCCTACACTTCCAGAAGCAACATTTCCCTTACGCACAACTATCTATAGAATAGATAGAGTATGCATTTTCCAAGACAATTTCATTTCAAACTATTAAAGAACCTTTGACCCAACGGATTGGAGATACAAGTAGTTTCTTGATAGCAGCAAATAAATAGCAGTGGCTAACAATCAAAAAACACCCGATTGCCATCGCCCTGCTCCTAATATTCAGGAAACCCATCAAACAATTAAAATTTTATATAAATATATTATGAGTGGCAGGTCCACTGTGATTTGAATGCTTTCTTCAATGAAATGCATACTGTGTAAACAAACTACTGATGTTTTCTCTACCTCTAAAATAGTTGAGCTCGCAACGAGCATTCCTCAATAAAGCACTGCCTAAGACGAGAGGGAAAGAACAACGTGGAGTCGGAAAACTTCAACCAACAACTTACTCAACCTAACCTTACTAATATAAAAGAAGGAATTTGAAAAATACAAAAAAAAAAAGAAAATTAAAATGAAAACATGATAAGTTAACTCAAAAGAAGGATAAGATAGAAGTAAAACATAGTGGGTTTATTGGAGTAAGTTCATTTGAATAAATTTATTTAGGTTAATAAGGGGAGCCTTTATAATTACCCAACTGTGATTGATGACTAATGAACATTTGGCTTGAAAATGGTTATCGCTGTCGGTTAGCGAAAAAAAATGGCTAGAATGGCTAGAAAATCCTCTAAGAACTATTAGAAACCTCTCAAGGCAATGCTTGTAATTAGTCTACTAGAAAAGGCTAGAAAACTCACTTCGAATAGTTGGAAGCCCAGCTAATAATGAAAATCCACTAAAAGTTAATAGAAAAACCGCTGGAAATGGCTAGAAACACAGCTATAAATAGTTGTAAACAACGGGATAAAATAGATAGAAAACCCGCCGTCACCAGTCGTTGCCAGAGCCTAATTCTATTTCGCACTAAAAATATTCCTGGAATCACCCGAAAACTACAAGAAACAGCGACTCTTAAAAACCACAATATCCTAGTAGTCATAAATAATTTTTGTTTTGTTTTTTTTTAATAACAATTTTGCCAGCTGGTCTACTTGCTGTTCGTTTGTGTGCGACTGTTACTGTGCTTTTTGTTTTGTCACAGAAAAGGTTGTCGATCCTGCATTCAAGACCCTCATATAAGAAGTTTCAATTCAATAAAAGTTCTGGCAACTCTCTCTGTCTCCGTGTGGAAAGATATTTGGCGCATTTGTTAGACCACAAATTTTTGAAAACAATTGAACGAAACGGCTTAAGACTCATTGCGACTAATGAGAGACTATTGAGAAACAAACTCGTTAAAGAAATTTGAACAATGAAGGCAACATTAAATTAAAACTTTACATAACTTTAACAGAAGACTTTGGTAACATGTTACATTAATTGTTTTAACTTTAATAATTTATAATAGTAATAATTAATTAATAATAAATGTACTTTCCTGCACTTCCACTTGCACTTGTTAATTATGCAACAACTAAACACACTATAGTATTTTAACAGCGAATATCAATCGAAATGTTCAGTTGCAAAAACAATTTCCATATCTACTTGATTAGCAAGGCTTGATGGGAAATTGTGTGCCCATTACCCGTAGTACTCGTATGTACGGGTTCAATTACAGATGCTAAGACTATTACGAATGCATACAGACATAGGAATACATTTGTGAACGCCTGCTCATATACATACATACATACATACGTACATACATACATACATACATATGTAAATATTATGGGCTTACTCGTATGGCCTCAATGCATCGCGCTGTGGTTGTCAATGTTAAACGTTTGTCTGAACGGCAGGGGGGCCGCAAAGTAGGCAACGTCAAATGCCAAATGACATCTGACGAGCCCAAGACAGCTACTGCGTCTTATACTAGTATACATATGTATGTCTTCTGATTTGTGTTCTTCTTGGCCCGTTTTCCCATCAGATTGTGTTTGTGTGTGTGTGTGTGTGTGTGTGTGTGCGTGCATGTCCCGTGTGTTCATGTCTCTGGGCTGCTTTGTTTTACATTTGTCGCCGACGTCGTCGTCGTTGTCGTTGTCGTCTTCGCGTACCAATTACAGCACACAAGGGCCAAAAAGCGCAAACATAAAAGCTGTCCCGCTAGCCTCCCCGGTTATCCTCTGGCTCTCGCTCTCCTTCCATGCCCCAAGCTGAAGCGGCATGCACGTGAAGCTGCTCCACTTTGAATTAGGCACAGAAATCACAGAGAGAGCGCGTCACAAATTTGAATCATTTACAAAATATGCTGAAAAGAATAAGGAAAATGCAAGTCAAAGAGTAAAATAGTACGACTACAACGGCAGGGAATGTCATGCTGTGTACATACATACTCGTGTGTGTGTGTGTGTGTGTGCCCAGGATAATTTTCAGCAGAGAAAAAAAAGTAAAACAAAAACAACAAAAAAGGTACACTAAGAGGCATAAGGCCACGACACCGACTGAGACTCTGAGACTGAAGCATGAACAGCGTGCATCGCTAGTTGTTGGTAAGCCAGAGTTCATATGTATTATATATATATGCATCTATATATTATATATTTTATGTACATACATATATATATATATATATATAAAGTTTATATATATATTTATATATAAAGTTTATATATATATATATATATATATATATATATATATATATGTATGTGTTTGCGGCCTGGGTGACTCCTGACTGTGGCTGTCATGTGCCACAAACCCACTAAACTACTGAAAAATGTGAAGCGACGGCACAAAAGGAAGCGCAATTTCTGCTGCACACCACACACCAAACACACACACACACACACACACACCAAACACACACACTCACCAAACACACACACGCACACACATTAGGGCACATCGAGACAGGCGGCCGAGCAGGAGCACCCGACTCTGGCGAACGAGTGCAGCCGGCACATATACAAAGCCGGCACAAAGAAATGTTAATTCCGTAATACTTTAAATGTGGAGGCATCGAATGACATTTGCACTTTTGCTGCCAGGAAACTAGAAAGCATATTGGGACAAAGTCTCTTTAGATCCTTTAGAGTCAAAATGAAGTTCCAATTATGGTTAACTAATTTTTTAAAAATTACCAACAACTTTGAAAGTGTACTGAATAAGTTTCTTACCATTGCGGACTATGGTTTTCTATATTCAAAACCATCATATATCTGCTTACCCGGGTGATGCACAGGGGATATATTCCGTTCCATTACACTTGCGGCTGTAATCATCGGAAATTTGCAGTTTTAGATCTATACTGTATCTTCTTTTTTTTCTATTTTTTAAATTAATTAATTAATTAAATCTGAAGATCTTCATTTTGACACCCAGGCATGTGCAGTTTTGCAGATTTGATAACAAATTTATTTGTTCTTTTTTATAATGTTTGTATCTTTTCATCTATATCGACAGTCCATTTTTGCTTGTGCTTCGAGATCTGAATAATTGATGTTGCATTAATAGGAACATGACTTGAGGGGAAACGACTGTGGCATCAATCGTCTGATTTGGTTGCCGAATTTCATTCGATATCCTACGATGCATTTAAATAACCTTCCAATATTTTGCTGTTTTCAACGAGAAGAAATACATTGATCAAAATACATTGTACTTAAGCCTCTCCAATAAAAAGTCTCATGGTGATATATACCTCTTTAATTTGTAAAAAGACTTTCTTGTTTTAACTAATTAATAACTACTCTAATTGGATAAAGTGTATTTATTGGTCTTGGTGGTGAGAGTGTGCACTTAAGCGGAAGTTTGGAAAATTGTACTCCAAGTGGGTGAAAATGGGCTTTATAATGCAATCTCTTGCGCATCCAAATGAATTCAGAATGGATTGGAACTGTCTAAACAGTACATAAATCATTGAATTATTGCAATAATGATTACTGGAGCACCCAGGAAGTTTGAGGGTTTTAAAGCTTATATGATCGTGTTCAAGTGGAACTCTGAAGGAATTAAAAACTGGTTGGGTTGCTTCAGGGCCTCTTTTTGATTTTAGAAAACGTTCGACAAATATTTCTTCGAGAAACGTGAATAAAATAATAATAGCGAGTCGACTCAGCGAATTGGTACTCAGCTGAGAAAGCTAAAAATGCAGCCGATATTAATGATTTTCAATTAATTTGTAACCACTGTACGCTATTGCCGACGCGCCCCATTCTATTTGCCTTACGTGCTCTGCAAGTGAAAGCATCTAGGAATCAGTGCTTATATAGAAATCGTGTGCATGTGCTTGTGTGTGTGTGTTGATATGTATGTATGTAACGATGTATGCATGTCCGAGCAGCTCCAAGAGTGTATGTGAGTGTGTGTTCGCTGTCGCTGCTTATACCCGTATGTATGTATGTATTTGTTGCCTTAAAAATATAACAAAAGGTGCAAGGTGGCGTTGCCTGCAAAAACACGAGGGAGCCCACGAATTGCACTTGCATACAAATCAACAAGCAACCCAAGATACAGGTGCACAGGAGTGGGAAGGGAATGTGTGTGGATGAGAAGGGAAAGGGCAAGAGGGGGAGAGGGGGGAAACGAGTACAACAAGCGGGCACAGCAAGAAGTAAAGAGGCGAGCAATGCTGACCACACTGCCCAAATACCAAGCGACACAACAGCAACAACAATAGCAGCAGAAGCGACAAAAAGACAAACAACAAACATCAGTAACGGCAATGGCAACGGCTGCAATGCAACAAGGCGTCAGTAATACACACAGAAAAAATATAGAATTTACGAGTAGTTCTCAAATCGAGATACCAAACAGCGACAAACGTATGTCTGATCTGATTTGTCCTTTTAAAAGAATCCGAAAGATAATTGAAGATTTATGCAAAATAAAAATGTTACAGGTGGTAAAAATTAAATAATATTATAGGTAACTCCTGTTAGAATAGAATACTAGATATTTACACTTTTCCTAAATAAATTGAATTTAACAAAAAACGAA